TTTTGGAGAGATAACAGTAGCTGCAGAGGAATGGAGTTACTAAATAGCTTGGTATGTTCAAGGAACACAGTTTGGCATGAAGATGGTAATATCACAGCAGATCTTACATGTTGGGCCCTTATCCCAGACATGGTGGGGCCTTGTACGCAAAGAGTGCTGTGTCTTTCTTTATTCTATAAGCAAGCGACAGGCATTGAGGGTTTTGAAGCTGGAGACAACACAATCAGACCTGGGTTTCAGAAAAGTTCTCAACCGTCTCCCTGACAAGACATGTAACAGATGATGCTCACAGCTGACAAAAGACCCATCTGCTCTCCCTGCATGGTAACCCTGACCCACCCTTTTTCTCACACACTCAAGAAAATATTTCAGAATGTAAGTAAATTAGAATAATATTATTAAATTGGGATCTTTTTTAACCAGCTCTACATAATGGACTCCTCAGGTAAACCAGTGTTTCCCTTTACCTTTGTAAGGTACTGACAGATGTCCGCAGCACACTGAACACCCGTGGCCACTCTCTGGTATGCCCACACTCGTCTACTTCCATCCCACTGGGTTTTATGCTTACCGAGAGTGAATTATGTCTTTTTTCAAACCTGCTTATGTCAGCTGTATCTGTTACTGTAGGCAAAGCATTATAGGTATGGGTTATATAAGAAAAAAAAAGCACTAACCCCCACCCCCCATCAGTGAAGCAATAAGCCTTGGCCATGCATTTAAAAAACTGAAATAGTTTATTCATACATTTTACGTTAAAATACCGAAGGTAAGTAGGCAACTTACAATATTTTCTACATCAAGTGACTTTTATAAACTAATTGCCTTACTACACCAATCTAGTTGTGTTATGTATGGAGGAATCTACCATAATTATAAAATGTGAAAGAATTAGGAAACAAGCAGAGCACAGTGTGAGAGGAAAACAAGGGGTGGTGTTTACCTTGTAGATAAAAGGATGCCACTTAAAGCAAATAAACAGCTTTGGACAATTAAAAAGGAAAAGATGTCATCATATACTTCATGAACTAGTAATTTCACCAAAAGCTGTAAATTAGTCCTGGACAGTGAATCATAACCTTTTATATGTAAATACATATAAACTACAGTAATCTAAAAAGCATTAAAATCAAGATATTACAAAAACTCGGTCTCAAGTATAAAAATCAGGCTAGATTGCCACTTGTTGCAATTATGTAAAAAAGGTTCCCTCTGTACAGGATTTATTGTTATTTTTTTCCAAGTGAACAAATTTCAAACTTGAGTTCTTTGAGTTCTGACACTGTTTGAAAACTAGTGAGAGGACTTCGGGTCAAGATGGAGGTATAGGTAGACAAACACGCTTCACCTCCTCAGGCAACCACAGAGAAAATTACAACTAGTAAGGAAGATCTCAGAGACAAGATCAGAACAGCAACAGTCCAGGTAAGAGATGACATTTGATTTGGGGAAATGGCTATGGATACAGAGAATAAACGGATTCTAAAGACACTTAGAAGACAGACAGTCTGATGGTTCTTGATGACCAAGTGCATGTGGAGGGTGAGAGGGCACCCTCAGTGAGAACTCCCAGATTATATCCTGAGTCACCAACAGCTATCCATTCATTTTCTTATGTAATGAAATCTCGTTACACTCTATGTGAAAGTGGGTCTGGTGAGGGGTGAAGATGGTCAAAGTACAAATTTCTAGTTGTGAAATAAGTAATGGGGATATGGTGTGTAACATAATTACCATAGTTAATAATACCTTATTGTATACTTGAAAATTGCTGAAAGAGTAGATTTAATAGTTCTCTCCACAAAGAAAAAAGATTGTAACTGTGTGGTGATGATGTTCACTAAACTTACTGTGATGATCCTTTCTCAATATATTCACATATTGAATCATTATGTCATACACTTGAAACCACTAAAATGTTATATGTCAATTATATTTCAATTTTTAAAAGTTGGTCCAAGTGAAAGTTAATTAGATCAAAATCAACCTAAGGCTAAAATGAGAATATTACGCAGAAGAAAAGCTCAGAGACCAAACCAAAACACAGCAGTAGTCTCAAATGGGTGAACAGGAAAACTTGGGGCCCACAACTTCTGGCCTGGCAACTACTTTTCAATCAAATCATTTTAATTTCCAATGGACATTTATATTATTCAATTTTGTGTATCCCAAATTAGTAACTTTTAAAAGAAAATATAATGTTATTCCACAAAATACTAACATTAAAAATGCAGTATTGAAATCAATTAACTTAGTTACAGACTAAAATGGATAAACACAAAAAACAAAAGAAGTAGACATATTTTCTTTCTTCCTTTTTAATTAAATCCTGACTAATCCAACAAATATTTTGTTCATTCAGAAAATATTTACTGAGCATGCTAGGAACTGTTTTTATGGGTATATAACAAGGGATACACACACACACACACACACACACACACACAGCAGGTACTACCTATCTATAAAAAAAATTATATATACGTGTATATATATAATTGTCATACCCATCTCACATATAATATATAAGATACCATCTCTGCACCTTATATATTTGATATATCATATATATGGAGCTCAAATTCCATTAAGTAGAGACAGACAGTAACTAAATACTCATAACACCAGGTTACTGGCTCCCTAGCACTTCTGAGACTCAGATGACAAGGGTCCAAAGCCTTCCAAAATCTGGCTCTTACTCACCTCTACAACCTTATTGCTCATGTTCCTACATCTACTTAACTTAATTAACTAAATTAGAGAACTCACTGTTCTAAAAACGGTCCTGGATTTTCCCAACTCCCTATCATTACCTTTGTCAGAAAACTGTCAGCACTCATCTATAAATGTTACCAATCCAACCAAGGCTCAGTTCAAGAGCCACTGCTTTCTCTAGGCAGATACCCAACCCCCCACAGCCAAAAGTGATCTCTTTTCCTGTTATGAACACTTTAAAGCTGTTCATGTCATGTTTAAAGTTGTTCATGTCATGAACAACTGTTATGACATGAACCACACTGGGCTGTGCACTAAATACCTTTGTCATTTTTGACTACATGCTTTCATACTCAGGGTGGGATTCATGGATGTGCAACCTCTCTAATGCTTTGGTGTCAACTGTCTTGAAATGCTTAATAAATTGTGAAGGAGGAGTCCCCATATCATTTTTGTACTGGGCCCTGCAAATCATGTAGCCAGTCCTGTTCACGACAAAAACCTCATGTGAACTTCTCAAAGAAAAAAAAAATCATGGAAAATAAGCAGGGAACTTACTGTAATCTTTCTCTCCCCCCCCCCTTTTTTTTTTTTTTTAAGAAAAGAGACCTTAATTTCTATAAATTCTGGGTACAAGCTGCTAAATAGGGATTATTGATCTTCATCCCTGGATTGAAAAGATAAAAATAAGCCAAGTTAGCTCAGAAATAAACCTTTGTGCATATGGGCAATGGATTTTCCACAAGGGTATCAAAGGCTTCCACAATGGGGAAAGGACAATATTATTAACAAATGGTGTGAGGAAAACTGGGTATCCACACACGAAAGAATGAAGTTGGATCCTTTTATTACACCACATACAAAAACTGACTCTAAGTGGATTAGACCTGAAAAAGACCTAAAACTGTAAAACTCCTAGAAGAAAACATAGGAAAAAAACTTTCATGAGATTAGGCATTAGACTCAGCAATGATTTCTAGGCATGACACCAAAAGCACAGGCAAAAAAGCAAAAATTAGACAAATGGGACAAACATAAAAACTTTTGAGTATCAAAGGACATAATCAATAGAGTGCAAGGCAGCCTATAGAATGGGAGAAAATATTTGTGAATCACATATCTGACACAGGTCTAATATCCAGAATATATAAAGAATACCTACAGCTCAACAATAAAAAAAAATCATATAATTTGCTTTACAAAAGGCCAAGAAGCAAATGCAAAGATGCTCAACACTGTCAACCATCAGAGAAATGCAAATCAAAACCATAGTCAAAGGTTACTTTATATTCATTAGGATGGCTACTATCAAAAAACCAGAAATTAGCCCTGGATGGTGTGGCTCAGCTGATTGGAGCATTGTCTCATAGACCAAAAGGTCACAGGTCAGGGCCCCTGTTGCACAGTTCGATCCCTAGTTGAGGTGCATATGAGAAGGCAACCAATCGATGCTTCCATCTCACATCGGTGTCTCTCTATTCCTTCCTCTCTCTCTAAAAAAAAATCAATGAAAAAATGTGCTGGAGAAACTGGAACCCCTGTGCACTGCTGGTGGGATTATAAAATGGCACAACTCCTTTGGAAAAGAGTCTGGGGTTCCTCACAAAATTTAAAAAGAACTACCACATGATCCAGCAATCTCACTTCTGGGTATGTGTGTAAAAGAATTCAAAGCAAGAACTCGAAGAGATATCTGCACAACCTATGTTCATATCAACAACTCTTCACAGTAGCTAAGAGGCAGAAAAAACCTAAATGTCCATCAATAGATGGACATTTATGTGGTATAGACATACAGTAAAATATTATTCAGCCAAAAAAAGGAAGGAAATCTTGTTATAGCCTACAAAATGAATGAACCTTGAGGACATTATGTTGAGTGAAACAAACCAGTCTCAAAAACACAATTACTGCATGATTCCATTTATATGAAGCATCTAAAGTAGTCAAGTCCATAAAAACAGAAAGTAAAATGGTGGTTACCAGAGGTTAAGGAAAGCGGGAAAGGGGAATTGTTATTTAATTGGTTTAGTGTTTCACTTGTTAAGATGACATTGTTCTGGTGACCTGTTTCACACTAATGTGTATAAACTTACTACTCAACTACACACTTTAAAATTGTTAAGATAGTAAATTTTATGTTATATGCTTTTAACACACACACAAAAGTCAGAAAACTATATTCTTTATAGCATAACTTTGTGCTAAAATAACCTCTTAAAAGATATATGAACAAGATAAATGTTAAAATATAAAAATATTTACATTCAGAAAACTTTTGTTACCTGCCACAAATCCAATTACCAGATCTTTTCCAGTAGTAGAATGTTGACCTTTGACCCAGACTGCTTTGAGGCTATTAAAAGTGTAGAAATAGACAAAATTGGAGCAGCAGAGACTGGAGATAACTGGAAACCACCCTCGATATGGGGCCAAGCTAGAGAAAAAACATAATAAACAAAGTAAAGATGCTGGACAAAAGTCACTAGAAGTGGGTAAAGTCCTAGGAAAGGCTGAATGTCATTCACATATTCTCCAAGTTCACTCCTACACTATAAGGTACTTCCTACTGTACATACATCTTACATTCTGAGGGATGTCCAAACTAAGAAATCTTTTCTAGCACTAATGCCACCAAAGAAACAATACACATTCAATGGCTGATTTACTGCTTTAGTAAATTACTATGTAAAATTAAAGACAATTTCCTCATGGTTATTAGTTAGTACAGCATCATTCACACAGGGCAAGGACGTTTAAAATCAAGTAAATATAGAAAATAAGTGTAAAAAAAGTGATGGGGCCTATTATAAGGGTACACGAAACAGACTAAGAGGTTCCCAGTGGCCAAAGCTGGAACAATTCGAGCACTTAAATAATGAAGTATAGTAATCGATTATAAATCATTGGTAAAACTAAAATTTCTGAGTCTATACTGATATTAAGTATCTCCTTATAGGCTGCTTATAGTTGTAATAGAGGAAAAAGAAAATTATTCAGTGCCTAACTCAAATCTAAAAACTCAGGATTAATCAGTGAAGGGCAGGTTGATAATATGTGACTCCAGGTATGATACCCTCAGGAGGACATATCACCTATGCACTATTCTGGAGTAGAATGCATAGCCTCAATCTAATCATGAATAAACATGAGGTAAACATAACATGAGACGCATTTTATTTTCAAAGAGGGGGAAGGAGGACTGACTGCATCCTTTGAAAACGTTAGTGTCACAGGGATAAAGGGATTTGATGTATAGTATAAAACTATTCTCAAATAATTTGGAAAAAATTTGTGTGGTGTGTGTGTAATAGAGAGAGAAGGGGAGGGAGAGAGGAAGGAAGAGAGAATGCATGAGCAAACGGCAAAACAAATGAAGAAGTGAGTAACATATACTGGTATTCATTGTACTCTTTTTAGTTTTGCAGTGTTTTTAAAATTGGAAAGTATTTATAAATAAAGAGTTGAAAGTAAAAGAAGTACATAATCTGAATGCATATAATAGGAATGAACTAAACAATTATTACCTTCTTTGATTTACCATACATAAAACAAAACATTGGTTTCATGGAAGACTCTGCAATTAAAAATAGAAATAACAAACCACACAATTTGAAGGAAATGAAAATAACTATGTACTTAAAAGTCAGGCAACTGCACATTCACAGCCCTATAAGGTTATGAGAGTGGACAGAAAGGAGTGCAGGCCTGTGACTCTCCTATGGAGCATCTTTGTCTAACAACGATAAAACAGTAGCACTCACAGGCCTTCTTCTTTAATAATCTCCAGAAGCACCATGTGTGTAGTTTTGGACTTTCTTTTCTCATCAACTACAAGACAAAAGAGCATCTGTTACGTATGAACCACTGCATTTTAATTCAATACCTAATATCCAAAGTAAAACATGTGACAAGAGAAATTACTTTTTTTTTTAGATTTTATTTATTTATTTATTTTTAGAGAGACGTGAGATTGGTTGTCTCTCACATACCCCATCTGGACACTGGGCCCACAATCCAGGCACATGCCCTGACTGGGTATCAAACCAGCAACCTTTTGGTTTATAGTCTGGTGCTCAATCCACTGAGCCACACCAGTCTGGGCTATTTGTTTTTTAGAGAGAGGGGAAAGGAGAGAGAAAGAGAGGAAGAGAAATATTGACATGAGAGAGGAACATCAATTGGTTGCCTCTGGTTTGCACCCCATCCAGGGACTAAACCCACAGATATATATACCCTGACTAGGAATCAAACCAGCAAACTTTCACCTTGTGGAAAGACGCCCAACCAACTGAGCCACACCAGTCAGGGTGTGAAATTCATTTCTGATATTCATTAGACTCTCTTGTTTTTTGTCCCAAAGTTACATATCCTCATTTTTATCTTAACATCTTATAAAGTAAAGTTGAAATAAACTACCATATCTCTTTTAGAGAAGAGGCTTGCAGACACACAAGCTGTGAAAGACGAGTAGTTGGCAGCAAAGTCAGGATGAAAACTCAGGTTTCTAAAGTTTTAGCCTTGTGTTCTATTTCCTAATCTAAAAATATAAAAGGTCCCAAAAAGATGAGAATTATGCTTTTCTTGGTATTTTTACTGAAAACAAAACTTACCTCAATTAACTTCAAATTTCATACTCTCATTTGAAGAATATTTTAAAACCATAAAAATGTGGAAATGAACCAATTTCTTAAGAATTAAACTGGTACTTATATGGCTTGTAGGGTGGCAAAATTACAATGCTTATATCGAAGAAAGTCTGGCAATATCTATCAAAATTACAAGCACATTTACCCTTTGATCCAGCAACCCCTCTTCTAGGAATTTATCCCACGGAACTTAAAGAAACAAAGTGGCATATGAGCAAGTCTATACTACAAGGGAGAAGAAACAACCCAAAAATCTCCAATGGTGGGGGTGCATCCATACCATGGAACATCCTATAGCTAGAAGGAAGGATGAAGAGGCTCCCAAAGCACTGATTTGGAAGGCATCCAAAATACGCTGTCAAGTGAAAAGTGCAACGTACTTTTCAGTGTAAAAAGTATGCTTCTGTGTAAGGGAAAAAAGGATATATATTCTTATTTACTCATTATTCCATAAAGAAACTCTGCAAACCAGTTGAGAAACTAGTAAGGACACTATCTGCAGGGAAAAGAACAGATAAAAAGGGGCACACTGCCGTGAGATGTTTCACTGTACTGTATATTTTTTAAATACATTTTGGTTTTTGAGTTGAGTCATATGAAATTATTACCTATCCTAAAACTTTAAATTAAAAACAGTAGTCATGAAGGATTTTAACATAGCAATTAATTTATTTAAAGCTCATCTTACTCTTACCTCTTCACGTACATTTTTAGCATACATTTATTATTTCAAGTTGAAAAATATTCACATAAAAACAGGCAGGAGTTACAGAGTTATACAGTCCTGTAAAGCAAAAGAGGCAAACTAGGACTACATGCCTATATGAGCAAGGACAGTGGGTATTTGGTTCCACTATGTTTCCTAGTCTCTCTTCTCATTTGTGAAAATCTACCTGCTGCAAAAACTCTCCACTATACCTTTAAAAAGTAATATTATTTATTAGAAAGAATTGTAATGATTCAAAACTGTTAACATAAGCCCACTCAGATTATCTCAGAATAGAAAATAGCTACGGCTATAACTCATCCATGAACGCCTCTGTTAATTAGGAAATAGAAACGATGATGAATATTTCAAGTCAGTGAATATGGACAACAGATCTCTAATGAAACAATATCCTTATGTTGATTTAGAACTTACTAGAGAAATGTGTTTGTTTCTGGACACCAAATGAACAGAAATACAAAAGACACTCACCTTGAAGTCGAAGTCGAGCTGTATCCAAAGGAAAGAACACTGTCATTGCTGTCATGCTGCCCTGAAAAGTTTGAAAAGCCTTTAGCCATTACACATCACAGGACAATGAGCCACAACTTTCAAATAAACAAAAGTTCACTATTAACAATGGGTCAAATCCAGTTTTCAATGAATACATACAATATTTTAACCTATTGGGATTATTATCATTTAAACTTCTACAGTTACGTACCTAAACAGAAGTTTAAAATTTTCTGGAAGAAATATCTTTCTCTCTCTTTGATATTACAAAAAAAAAAAAAAAAAGGAGCCCTGGCTGGTGTGGCTCAGTGGATTGAGTGCTGGCCTGCAAACTGAAAGGTTACCGGTTTGATTCCCAGTTAGGGCATATGCCTGGGTTGTGGGCTAGGCCCCCAGTTGGGGGTGTGTGAAAGGCAAATCGATCTGTGTCTCTCACACATCGATGTTTCTCTCCCTCCCTTTCTACCACCCTTCCCCTCTCTCTAAAAATAAATAAAATCTTAAAAAAAAACAAACGGTAGTGGGTCTCTGGAGATGACAACCTTAGGGTTTTGCAACATAGGACACATGTCAAAGATAGCAGATAAATGGATTTTCAACCTTTCACAGGTCAGTTGTTGCTCCTATGCTCTGAAACCAAAATAGCCAGTAATCAGACACACCTATTCTCCATGTTTAACCAAGATATTCACCACAGAAGTATAAGAAGTGCAAATATCATATTGTTCTTTATAATGGTTTTGTCTGCTATGCTTTCAATAAAATAGGGACATTCTCTTTGCTAAAAATTCTGTAACTCATCCAAGGTAGTGCAATGACAAAACTGATCAAGGAAAAAAAGCCCACAACCAGTCTTTCCATTCACAAGATCCTACCCATAAAAACCACAAGCATATAGTTAGAGATGAAATTATACACAAGGAATTTTTCATAGATTTACGGTTCTCATCCCAGATGCAGGCCCTCTGGTAGTATATAATCTCAGGCAGAACATCAAGTTTTAGGCTACTGATCTAATTATAGCTATGTACAATTTTTCATAAGAATGACTGGATACTAGGTCAACTTTATAGATACAAACAAAAATTTGCCAGGTCTCTTATCTATTTAAATAGGTCAGCCAGCTTGATGGTGGAGAACACTATATTATCCTATTAGTATTTTTCAAAACTCAGGTTAAATGTTTCCACTTCCTGTCCATTAGGTTACAAATGGCAGGCAGTTCATTTCTCTATGTTCCTCTATCATTTGTTTACGACTCACACAGCACTTACATTACAGTGAATATTACAGTGGAATCTAACTCTTTGGCCAGATATTAAGAATATTCATTCTATCTCTTTAATATAACAGATTCTTAATAAATTTTTATTCAAGTCACTCTACTTTCAGTTATTTACGCTTTGATGGCTCCAACATAAATGTTCTTTTCTAGCAAGGACTAGATAATATTTAATGTTTTAGAAACACCGTACCGAAAAAGGTTTATCATTTACAAATCTATGCTTTTTGGGCACCCTTGCTCAAAATTTGGAAATTTTACAGGCAATTTCCAAGAAAAATGGGAATTGGAAAGCTAGAGAACACTGATTAAGGTTATTAAGGCTGCAACATTTATTTCCTAGTGCATGATACTACATCTCCATGTCAGCTATTGCATAGATTGGGCCTCTCCAGGCAGAAAAGTCCTTTGGTAACTACTTTTTCAAACAAGTGGGTTACCTCCATCCCTCCCCCGCCAGCTTTAAACAGACACCTGAACGTTTCTGAATTACAAGCCCCTGCCAACCTACTTTACATTCTTAAAGTGATGCACAGTACACCTTATACCAAGGTATAGAGAACAGTTAGCCCAAAAAGGTCAATGGTCTATTACCGCCTTGAGGACTAGCAAAAAAATTCACCCCATTAAAATTAAATACTTTTAAAATTTATTAGTATTAGACTAGATCAAGATAGTGAATTGAAAATCCACCACTGCCTCCTCCCGATTCCATCACTAATGACGAAAAAGATTCATGTTAAAAAATGTTATGTAGAAAAACAAAGAGGGGTCTGATTGGTGGACCAGAAATGAATAGCAGAATGAGGCTGTTTTGAAAGAGGAAATCATAGACCCAAATGTACAGAAGGTAGGTGTGGAGGCAGAATAATACCCCCCAGAAAGATGGCATGTACTACTCCCTAGTACCTGTTAACACATTACATGACATAGCAGGTAGTTAATTATTGACCTTAAAATAAAGAGATTGTTGTATGGCAACAGTAACTGAAAAAGTAAAGAGATAATTCTGGATTATCTGAGCGGGCCCAAAGTAATCACAAGGGTTCTTAAGGTAGAAGAGAGAGGTGAAAAAGCAGGTGGGAGTGAGGTAATCAGGATTCACCCATCACTGCTGGACTAAGCGGCCACTAGGCAAGCAATGAGGGTGGCCTCCAGAAGCTCAAAAAGGTGAGTAAACAGAACCTCCCCTGGAGCCTCCAGAAGGAATACAATCCTGCTGACGCCTTGATTTTAGCTCCATCAGACTTCTGATCTACGACCTATATATACTAAATTTGCATTGTTTTAAGCCACTCAGCCTGTGGTAATTTGTTACAGCAGCAATAGAAAAAACTATTACAAGTTTACGGAAAAGTGGTGGAGATAAACATTGGAAAGCAGAAAGCAGCTCTTGGGCGAATTTCTTTTCTTTTCTTTTTATCCTCACCTGAGGATATTTTTTCACTGCTTCCAGAGGGAGAGGAAGAGAAACATCAATGTGAGAAAGGAACATCGATTGGTTGCCTCCACAGAGGCCCCAACTGCAGACCAAACCCACAACCTAGGTGGGGTGAATTTCTGGTTGACTAGCTGGGTACCACAACAATCAGTCGGGTAGTCCCAGTCCCAGTCCACAATTGTGAATGTGGGAACCTGGACGTGCCTATGGTGAGCAGGAACACTCATCAGAACAGGGAACTCCACGTCCAGAAAGCTAACCACTGCTACACCTTGCCAGAAGCCCATGTCACCTTTTCACCACAATCCCTGGCAGGGGGAAGGGTGTGGAGTGGGGTTAGAAATGAAAGGCTTACCGGTTTCATCCTATTTAAGAAAAAGATATAACACATACATTTATTCTAGGCTTTGTTAGAAAACCTAAGTTTAAATATGAGAATTAAAATTTTAAGGGTGAAATGGAGGCTTCCATTTCTAACAATATGGTGACCTAGACAATGTGCTGAAAAATATCTACAACTACTAAATAAAATATAAAAAATGTAAGTAATAAAATATAACAAACACCATTTAAATGTTTAGCGGAACTCATGGAAAAGTAAGGGAAATCCACTGGGGCCTGAAAGAAGAGTAGAAACCCAAAGGCTCTTGGGCTTTACTATTTTTTAAACTGAAGTAGAATTCACATAGCATAAAAATAGCCATTTTGAAGTATACCATTTTGTGCATTCACAATGTTGTGCAACCATCTTTATCCTGTTCCAGTTTCCATCACCTCAAAACTCTGTACCCACTAAGCAGGCACACCCCAATATCCCCTTTCACTGAGCCCTGACAACCACTAATCTGTTGTCTCTACAGATGTAGCTATTCTAGATATTTCATATACAGTTATGTAACCTGTGACCTCTTGTGTCTGGCTTCTTTCACTTTGCTTAATGTTTTCAAGGTTTACCCACATTGTAGCATGTGTCAGTTCTTTATTTCTTTACATGGCTGAATAATATACCACGGTGCATATACACTGCATTTTGTTTATCCATTCAAAATGTTTGGAGGGTGAGGGGAGTAAAAGCAGACTAAATGGTAGTAGGAAAAAAATATAATAGATTAAATTAAAAAATGTTTTGAAATGAGACAGAGGTAGTGGTTACAACTTGTAAATGTACTTAGTACCACTGAATTATACATTTTAAAAGGGTTAGTTTTATTTCATGAGAATTATACCTGAATTTTACTAAAACATATTTAATCTTCACAACAACCTAATGAGTTAAGTGCTATTCTACTCTCCATTACAGGTGAAGAAACAGATACTAAGGTTTTGCAGCTTGTTGAATGTCATACACTTTGCAAGTGATAGGTCAGTATTTGAACACAGGCAGCCTGACTCCACAGTCCATACTCTTAACCACTGCTGTAATTAAAACTTTTAAAAAATTGATAAAGAAAAACTAGTGAAAAAAAAAAAAGGTACTAATATGGGGCCTATTTTATGTGTCAAATATTTTTTTCATGGACTGGTCTAAAAACCCAGCAGAGCCTGGCATAGCATATGCCCTGAACTTTTTAATGAATAGTATGACTATGTGCACCTACAAATAAACTTAATATCCACAGGAAAATTTATTCCATATGCTGAAGGTATATTCAAAACAGCTATTCCGTATATCGGCAACTTGCTTTATTTGTCTCCTTTTCCAGCAAATACACAGATGACTTTTCATAAGTACCTGTTACAAGAAGGAAAATATTTATTATATACAAGGGTATGTGAGTCTTATGCTAAGCTATATAAGTACACAATTTTTCAGAATTTGAAATTCCCCCTTTCATAAGTAATCAGTGTTTTTTTCCCCCTCTAGGATCTATGCTCACTTTTATAAAATTAGAAGGTATAAAATACTGAGAGGATAACCACAATGTATAATACTGTTATGCCAGAGGGGCATAAAAATAAGTCCATTGTTTTGAGTCCCACAGAATTCTAACCATCTGAGTGGGAGTCCTACTGCTGACAATAATTAAAACTTAAAAGGATCTATTTCCAGAGAAAAGTCTTCTTGTATTTCACCAAAACAAACATTTTGACGTTATGTTTTACCATCCCCCTCTGGCATTTAACCATTTGGTATTAGAAAAATAAATTAATTCCTACACTGCATGGTACCCAGAGCAGGAAAAGCCTTGAGAGATCACCTAGCAGTGGCGTCCCTTTGCCTGAGAACTGAGGAGTCTGGGGCAGGGTAGTTAAGAGGTCTGCCTGAAGCTGGAGTGGCAGAGCTGGAGCTAAAATTAAGATCGTTCAGGCTCCCAGT